ACAGCTCAGGATACTGGAGTTTTCGGCTAGTTAAGTTTATTGGTCGACTTGTTGGAGGGTGCAGACATTGAAAAACCCAATATATACTTTAGAGGGGGGTTTCAGGAGACGAATGGTGCTTTTCTGAGAACTCAGATTGTTCTTGAGAGCTGTAGAGCTGGAAGAAATTAAAGACGAAGTGTTTTTTTAATGACAAATATGAAAGGAGGCTAGAAGATAAAGATATGGATGGTGGACAATGATCTGAGGGGGCTTGAGCGCTGACTGAGTTGTGAGGGAGATTGACAATTCCCAACTTTCCCACGTCGTGGAAGACTAGGCTTTCTTGAGGTATCCGAAAAAGAAGCGATAGTTCTTGACCGCCGAGCCCATGGGACATCTGTTTGAGGTCAACCAAAGATGGCCTCATGAAAGTTTTAAATTTAGGTGTATTGCGCTAGCATCCGACTATGAATCCGTCACAGGAATCGGCATGCTATGTGGTGATCGGAGTGTGCTATTTTCGAGGCCAATCTTGCCGAATCGCCTTTTCACATAGGGAAGGCAGCATCAGCGTAGCACTGCCGGTCATCCAACGGAAACACCATACTGCTGTCACACTTTCGTCTAGCCAACAGTATGACTTCACCCTCAGACTACCATAATAGTGTGGTAATTTACGCTATGACTGTAACTGCTTCTACCAGCAGGTCTTTCTGGTACTGTAGGACCTCGCGGTAACAGGGTTCCTATCAGCATAGTTCGTTGGGTAATTGCGATATACAAGCCCGACCACCACGTTAAGGTAGCAGCTATCGGTCGAGACAAGATACAGGAAATCAGATGCTATTGGATATGTGGGGGAAACAACAAGAGCAGCCGATTAAAACTATAATTCGAGATATTAAAAACATCTATAACAAAAACATTGGTGTCGACAAGAAAACAAGCAAACAATGAGCTACTAGACAACTGGAAAAAGATATTCGAAAAGTCAAGATGACAATTTGTGCATTTATAATTAAGTTCGAAATTAGTTAAATGAGATTATGACTGCTTGAACTCCATAGTCTACAGGCTTTACTGGGAAACTAAGGGGTTGCAGACTCAAATAACACTTCACCTACTTCCATCTAAACAGCCGTTAGCGCTTAACAATCGTTTGAAGCTTGCAATCTAGCACACAACTCGTAAGATTTGGCTGATTTCCCTACAAAATAGTGTGAGAATAGAAAGCGTAAGAGTATTTTAAGCATACCTACGGTTAGTGCCACATACTGTTTCTTTTCAATTCAACTGTAGCGACTACGGAAGGAAGATATATATCCTTTAACTAGATGTATAACGTTCTAGTCGATTCAGTGATCCGAACGGTCTCATCAATACAGACTTAAGCTTTGGCCAAATATGATGTAGAGATCCGTCGACAGTCTCATTGTATCATACTTTTATTTTGACACAAAAATACAACAGTGAATGTGAACGAAAGATATAAATGATGACGATTACTGTACAATCATTCAGTCAACATCGACATGAGACCTGACATTACTATGTGACGGTCCAAGTTGCCACCCGTGACATAAACAAATCACCATGCATTTTATAAAAGATATGTGGATGATATCCTAATCATTAGTCATGATGGATATTGTGGGACTTCAGTTCTGAATTGAATGGTAGTCTATCTTTGATAAGTGCCAAAAAGAACGATAGCTGCTTGTCTTAGACGTAGTGATCAGTCGACAGCAAGATGGATCAATAAAACAATTTATTTATAGAAAGTCTACATGAACAGGATAGTATTTAAATTATCGCAGTTTCTGTCTAATTCAGTATAAACGAGGCTTGGTGAGGTGTTTATTTGGTCGAATGCAACAAATATGCACAGTCGACACATTGGAAAAAGAGACAAGATTATTCACTGGGATATCAACTGAAAACAACTACCCATTGAAGTTGTTTAAGTCCGCATAAAAATGGGTACAACATTGAAAAATACTGTTCACTCCTTCCCATAGAAAGATGTATTCACAAAGCTACCGTAAACTGGTGATGCAAACACCATGATAGTCAGATAGAGACAAAGCAGATAATTGAAAATTCGAACACTATATACCCATCGAAGCTGTTGGAATACGTAAAAGAAGTTACTTCCCATTGTGTTCACTAATTAAAATACATCTGTGGCCACATATACATAGGAAGGACCCATCGATCACTGGAAATACGAGCCGCAAAACATATTTTGAATTGGTTTCAAAAACAAATAGAGTCACCTAGCTCCATTAAAGCTAGAAACAAACATCGAAACTCCTCAATAGCTAAACATATTACCGAAACGGGATATAAAAAAGTGGATGTACATGCGTCATTTGAGCTTATCTATAAAACCTATTGGGGACGTATCTTAAGGTTTGTTAAGACATTAGCCATTAGGAAGCTTAATTCACTTGCATGTCTTTAAAAAGTATTTGTCATCATATTAAACCTTCCTTAGTAAATTTGACTTTAAACCCAAGGTTATTTATTGTATCACCACTTTTTTCCACATTATTGACCTTCCTTCTAAAAAGTCTTCTTATGTGACCTATATTTATTTTCCTACCCCTTAAATCTATAACTTTTCATTTAAATGCCTATGACAATTACCCATGTGACCAGATTGTTCGAAATGTGTTGCACAAATACAATACACAATTCAAATAAATTAGGTCACCTTATTGTTCTGTAGAAAATATATACCATTGAAACGACTAGACGTTTCAGATCTATCTACAACATCTACTTGAACCTTGAAGAAATTTAGATCTTTTTGTGGATTGAAAAATAATTTGCTATTACATAAAAAGCCTGTTGATAACTCAACTTTAATAACAGATTTTATTTACACATCCCTTTCTTTGGATGCGATCTGACTGCTAAGTTAACACCATTTGATCATCTATTTTATTTTAATCCCTTAATCACTATCATTTTTCTCACTTTTAAAAAACCATATATATGACAAGTGTATGCATTATCGAGTTGTTGGGCGTGCACCGTACAAATATATATATCATGCTATGGATGAATAATATCCTTTTATTACCCTGTCACACTTCATCAAGTTTATAAGCGCAGGCTTTGACTGTTGGCAAACAAATGGATCAATGGTTCCACTGATCTAATTTGAAAGAATCAAGAACTTGACTGATAGTTCACCAGTTATAGTTGCACATCGACCAATGGGAAATTAAGACCAGAAAACGGAAAAAAAACATGGGTGGATAAGGTATATTGAAGTTAAAATCACTTTTCAAAAGCATTGGTTGGAATCGTAAGGTCACATTATGACGCAGTCTAACCAATACCCAGTGTTGCTATCGAGTCAGTCTTTGTTGGGCTCACAGGTAAGAAATGACTACTAGATATTTCAATTTGGAGGTTTGTGGGGATTTATTTATTTATTTCAGGTTGGTATTCATCATGGACTGACATCAGTTGGATAAATAATGGAAACTTGGGAAACCACGTCGAACATGAGGGAAGTTACTCAACGATGGCATTACATGCACGTCGCGTTATATCGTGAACTGACAGCAGTAGGAAGTATGGACCAGTGGATTCTGACCCAATGGCTAAATGGTGAAATGCTGGCCACAGAAACAGACGGTCCTGGGTTCGATACCAAATGGAGTCATGGTTGCGCACTGCTGAGGGATACCACACTAGAACGAACAGCTACCCAGTGCTCCCAGGTCTCCAATGTCTCTCCAACTGATGTCAGTTCATGATGAATACCAGATATTTGTAAATTTATTTCAAGACTAACTACCGACTATCTATCCACTTGGGAGAGTTGTATAAAGCTGATCAGTATTTATTTGTTAACCACAATCGGTAAAAAATTGAGCACCGAGAAATGTAACATACAATGTAACATAAAAACATCATGCAGTGAAAGACAAAAAGAGGTAATAAATAAATAAAAATAGTGTGAATATAGTTTTTTTGGATACGACGTTAAAAAGTAGCATGACATTGAAACGAGTCAATTAGATGTGAGAAACGAAGACAAGTAAGTGAAATGTTTAGAATTTAAAGATGATGAGGGAATATATTTGCACCAAGGTGACAGATTTTGATTCATATCATAGAGATCCTCCAACTATTGATTCCTAATCATTACAAAAACAGCAATCAGATAGCCTATATTTTCATACACGACAAAGAACGATCAGCAGTCATATATTTTCTTCCAACTTTACTCTAAGTCAAATAACATTGCTAGTTGACTGACATAAGGTGCCAGTGTGTGCAACATATTTCCCAGTAAATGATGCTTTGTAACTTCACCGATTGGTAATGTCCTTCTTACCCACTACTTTACGACTAACCTCAACATAGCTCATTGTGATTTCATTGGACTCAAGGAGTGATATGAAGGCATTGATGATCAAGAACTTGTAGTCTTATCATGCCACACAATTTCAAAGGCGAAATTCTGTGCAGGAAACGTGCTTTGATGGATAGTCAGGTATCTTGCCGACTCCACAAATGGAAGAACTTGGTAACTACCAAACGAATCTCCCATATCCGTGTCGAGAATTTATCAGCAACCTGCTCATTAGGACTGCCGAAGCTTCCGAGGTAGGTTGGAAGATCAGCCTAGTCTATCTATCCCTAACTTCAAACTACGAAAGAACTGGAACATCCCAATCCTAGAAAATCGTTTCACATTTGATAGATATGAGATAAACGAGAAAAATACTGAGACGTTTGTTCAAGGTGTCCAGAAGACCACGTTTTTTCAGCATTTTCACATACTAAAACTACATCATCTATGAACTCTAACTAATCAGTTGAACAAATATTGAGAATCATAGAGCACTAAACTTATGTTTAGTCCTAGCTCGTGACTATTTAGTACACCCAAGACAACATACGAGAAACGACAAAAAGCACTTAGGTAATTTGTACTAATTTCATTTTAAAAAGATGACCAAATACTTTTAAACTGCTCTTATTCCTTCACTTACCAAGTCTTCAAACTTTTTTAGTAAGTAAATACTCTGCCTGCCTTCAGTCAAAAGTAGAACGGAGTAACAAACTCTGAATACGTTTTAAGATAAGTAACAGTGAAGCTTTCACAATGGAAATGCGAAGACTGTAAGCCAATATTGGAACTGAGTTTAATACTCCTATAAAAGTCTGAAAATGAAAAAGTAGTGATATAAAATGGAGGCGTAGTAATAGCAGAAAAAAGGCAAACATTCATAACCTATTTCAGTGAATGCAGGAAAATGATTTGCATTCGCGAGCACACAAAATATGCAATGAATAGATTAAATCAACAATGCTAAGTTTTATGACTCACTGGCCAGAACATTCAACTTATAACCAATGGGACCTAGTTTCAGAATTTGGGCAACTGCACACCATCATACAACATACACATAATAAATGTGGTTCATAGCCTAACGTATGAGCCTACATCGAGTAAGCGACTCACATTGCTGTTTTGTCATATTTAAGAAATTAGTTTGGACCATTTTGTTAAGACAAAATTAAGTACCAGTGGTGGCAGTGGACACCCTTGGAGGATACCAAGGGTTGGCGCTATTTCAGCTCTCAAGTTTTATTTAAGCTTAGAATGACTATGGATTCTATGATCGCATAAAATACCTCAATGAAGCTGATTCCCATGTAGTTGTCAAAGGAAGATATCTCCTTTCTTATAAGTTGAAATGATCAGTCTGAGCCTGAGATACTAATGTCTTAATTACTTTCACCTATAATTCCTGATTTGCATTCTTGAACACTTCAAGCGGCAGACCATCAGATTCTGCTACTTTGTATCAATTAAGGAGTGAGACACTTTTCTAAACTTTATCAAGGGTTGACGAATCAATATTTTAGCTGGAAATAAATATTGAGTGACTGAAGCGTGGCTTTAGACCAATTCAACTCTACTGCATGGTGTTTCTGCGATTATTCCAGGATCCATTTTTCCCAATGGTAGTCTCCCTGACCATCGTCTTTTTTGCGTGAAGTATTAATTAATTTTGATGTCTTCTCCATATCTTTTATCACCCACTACTACTCGCCGACATTACCTTTAAGTCACTTTTACTCCTGAAAGTGATCACAGTCAGTTGGAATTCATCTCCTCGCACAAACCAGTTTAGACAGGCTTGGAGAGGCCTACTAGATTTTGTTATTCCTCGGATACAGGTTACAAGTTCTATACACTGCTGTTTCTACAGTAGAACAAATATTATGCCAGGCTTAGCGCTGGTGAAAATCCGTACCCACTTCAGATAAGTGCCTAACTAATATCCCTCCTAAGTACACGAAATGGTCTGGCTTTCTAGTCGAAAAGAGGCTTTAGTTGTTTCTTTCCTGCATCCACTAAGCGGCAGAGATGTGTTTGTAAAAGCGCACGACCTAAATCTAGGTAGTCTGTATTTCCCTACAGGGCTCAGATCAACAGTAAGAGACTTTATCGACTAGTGCCGAATCTTGGTCTCCCCTACCCTAAAAATCTTCTTCCAACCTTATCCAGCTTTCCCTAGTATGGCACATCGAGGTAAACGGTGGCTCGGCATGCGCAGTACATGTCCAAGCCATCTCAGTCCATTAAGGTTCATAACCTCATCAATCGACTTGCCTGGAACCCTTCGCTTGATTTTAGCACTGCTCAAACAGTGATTCCACTGAACGCAAGCAATGCGAAGAAGACACATGTGATCAAAACCCTGTAGTCCTGTCATATCTTCTACTTTCAACGTCCATATCTTACAGTCATACAACAGGATAGGACGGACTACAGCACAGTATACTTATCCCTTGATAGATAATCAGATATGTCGCCAGTCGGTGCTGCAAGTTGGAGAATACCGAACAGGCCTTCTATATCCCAGCTGAGATTTCGTCAGCGACCAGCTCGTTCGGCAGATTGATGCAACTTTCCAAGTAAGTGAAGTGGTCGACGCATTCCACAGCCTATCACTAGACTGGGTATGGTTGCAGACCAGTATTGAAGCACCATCTTACATTTGATAAGTGCCAGCGAAACGCAAGCCAAACATACTCGGATTTCTGCTCAACACGTCCAGAAAACCCTGCATTTTGCCAGTATCTTCGCTTAACAGAACAACATCGTCTGCATACTGAAAATCAACTACATGACCTCTAGGGAATAGATTAATCACTGCGAAGCCAGACGTATCTAAAGTTATCTCTATTAGTACATCTATAACGAAGTTAAATAGGAATGATGACAATAGACATCGCTGGCAGACACCATTAGTTGTCGATTCAGATGATAACACAATGACCACTAACACAGCTGAATGGGTTCAAATAGAGAGCTTTGATAAGCACCATATGCTTTCTCAGTGCTCCTTTCACAGTTAGACACTGACACAACACCTCACGGTCGACATAGTCGAATGGCGTTTTCAGGTCAAGAATTATCGTAAGTGTCGAGCGTTGGCCGATATTCCGGTTTCAGAACCTGGTGGCGAAAATATGATGGATGCACCCTCCTCCAGGTCTGAAACTTGTCTGGTTTTCTTGCGTTTACTCTTCTTGAGATCCACTAAGGTGTCGGTTAACTATGGACCCTGGGATCTTGGACACAATATTAGTTAGACTGATTCCCCCATGGTTGTCACAATAAGATTTCTCCTCCTTCCTATAGACTGTGATGATCAGTGAAGTTACAGTCTGACAGGACTACTTCTTATTCTGATACACTACCTAGTACCTCTGTCACTGTAATCAGCAATTTCCTACTTCATCATCGAAAACTTCAGGTGGTAAACTGTCGGGTCAGGCTGTTTTTATCGTTTCGAATTCAATATGGCGTTCTCAACTTCAAAGAGGATTGAAGGAACAACACCTACGTCCCATTCACGTTCAGGCTGGTTGTTGGGCAACAGGAGCGTTGCTGAAGGGCCAGTTGAACTGTGCTTTAATGTTCTGTCCAAAGTCCTAGCTGGTAGGTTACCATCGTCCCATGCTTTTCGGTGAGGGTTTCACTGACTGTTGTCATCTTGCTGGTATCCTTAATAAGCCCAAACAGTCGCTGAGTGTTACGCAACGCTGATGCCTTCTCCATCTCTCTCTCTCTTTTGCCATCCACCTCTGCTCGTGATCGTTGCGAAGACTCTTTATCAATTTATATTTGAATTCGTCTCGCTCTTCGTCGTGGTCAAAGCCAGCCGGAATAAGTCTTTTCGCACTAATCAGTGGGAACGACATTGTAGAAACCTAATGACGTTTGCCAAGCTTCGGATGTAGGTTACAAACTGTCTTTATCGCTATCTCTAAAACAGATTTAATATCACTCCATGTTTCCTCAGGAGGAGCATTGCTGCCATGTTAAGATAAGTGCCTAGCTATTTCTTCGTTAAATTTGGGCTTGATGTTTTCATCTTCCAATAGACCACAGACAGGCTTTACTGCCGCCTTTTTCTTGCGGCGATTAAGGCACAGACAAACACGAACCCGCACTGGTGCGTGATCGGAGTCCAAACCGGTACTCTAGAAACAGCCGCAATCCTCCACCGACCCTCTCCAACAACGGCTTCTGGCAATATGATTTATCTGTTTATCCATCCATCCAAATCAACATACGACCGGGCATTACTGCGAAACGGTCCCAGTTGCCACACCTCATATCATTACATCAAATAAAAAGGCAGTGAGGCGCGAGATGAAGAAAAGAATACCTAGTCAAAAAAAATACATAAAGTATGAAAAGAGAAAAACGAAAAATGGGAAAATCGTGAGAATCGGTATACCATCGTTAAGATGAGGATGATGTATGTATACATCTACGCTACTGACATCGGTTCTCAGCCATATCGCCTAGAGTAAGTCTCCAACCACTGGTTCCTCTTGTCCCGCCGACCCCAATCACACAGTCTGCATCGCCCTACATGGCTCAAACCAAAAGTCAAACACTTCATACATTGGTGCTATATTTAAGTCTGGCCACCTTGGGCCTTTTCCCAGCCTGAACCTACTTCAGCCAACATTGTGTGGCGAGGCAATCGGCGACTAGGCACACGTAACACGTGTCCCAACAATCTCAGTTGATGAAGGTTCACAACCTCGTCAACTGATTCACCTTTTCTCCCCAAAACTCTACACCTGACGTCTGCGTTACTCACGTGGTGACACCACGGAATAAGGCCTATACTACGAAGGCAACGGTGGTCAAACACTTGAAGCCTTCTCATGTCTTCCACCTTCAATGGCCATGTTTCACAGCCATACAGTAGAATAGAGCGGGCTGCTGTGCAGTATACGCAACCTTTAGTAGACAATCGGATATCACGGCGGCGCCACAGGTGGCGTAAGTTGGCGAAAGCCAATCGAGCCTTTTGTATCCGGGCAGAGATTTCACCGACCACTGAGCCATCAGGGCTGGTCCTACCTCCCAGGTAAGTGAAGTAGTCAACACACTTAACCACTTTATTGTTAGCCATGACATCGTTGAAGGTCAGTCCTGGAGCAACAATTAGCATTTGAATAGTGAGAAACGCATCCCAAACATCCCTCAAATTGCCACTTTAAGTGTTTAGAATACTCTACATCTTTTCAGCATCTTCACCTGACAGCACTGTTATCTGCGTATTCTAGGTCTAACGAAAATTCTCCACCTCCATAAGAATATCTAAGATAAAATTGAATAAGAATGGAGAGAGCGGGCACCCTTGACGAACACCACTCGATGAGTACAGCTCACCTGACATCTCATCATAGGCTCTAACATGCCCACAAGTGTTCGAGTAGAGTCTTCAACAAAGTGATGTACTTACTCGGGACGCCTTTCAGTGAGAGACAGTGCCATAAGACTTCTCGATCAGAGTCGAATGCCGCCTTCAGGTCGAGAAATACAACTATTGTCGGGCGCCGGTAAGCGTGTCTGTGTTCCAAAACATTGTGCAGTGTGAATATTTGGTCGATCCACCAGCGGCCGTGTCTAAAGCCCGCCTGGTTTTCATGGGCTTGTTGTTCTCGAGCTCCACTTAGGCGTCGAAGAATTATAGAACCTAGAGTGTTAGATAATATATTCGTCAGGCTAATTCCTCTGTGGTTATCACAAGAAGACTTCTCGCCTTTCTTGAAGACTGAGATAGTCAGTGATTTAGACCAGTCAGAGGTGATCGTATTTGATTCCCATATAATGGTTAATACTTCCGTTAACTTAACTAAGAGCGCTCTACCAACATCCTTGTATACCTGAGGAGTTATACAAGGATGATCTGTGTCCATCGTTGGTTTGATATTAGTAGACAGCAAGTGAGACAATGCCTCATTATGCTTAAGGTTAGTTATAGCCAGAAACAAGTGATTGTCAAAACAAAACTGCATCAGACGATCATCGTTGTCGGTTGGTTGGAATGGGATTCCGTAGATACCTCCAAGATGCATTTCCGACTGGCTCAATTTCCTTACTTGAGCCTCAAAGACACTTGCCATAATGACTACATCTGTAGCAAAATTGACAGCTTTTCATAGAATTCATCCTTTGCATCATGCGAACTACAGTCAGTGGGTGCGTAGGTAGAGATTAGGAACAGGCATCACCTAGTTTACAATCCTTCCTAGTTCTTACACATCCATTTAGTCGAATAGCCCACGGACGGTTATTTACTGGTATCCAGTCGAAAAGCGCATTTCCCGCTATACAACTCAATGGTATGCCTACACCATCGAGTCCATGAGAGTTAGCCATTAGGTCTCCGGATACTCGTAAGGTGAATTTTGAAGATTCACTACTATGGCCAGGTGAGATAAGCTTCATAACCACACTCGGCTCTTTTATACATGTCTCAAAGACACAGCATATGTCCATGGCTCGTATTTCCACAACTGAAGTAATTGATATTTGCTGTTGGACTAGATATGTGGTTCGAACGTTAAAAGCTCCCACATGAAATAGATGGTGAGCGGGTTTTTAGGAAACTATGAATGAAGTTCTGATGGATGAAAGTTTGCAATTATTGCACAGTGAGTTGGGTAGGGTGTGAGAGGTTTAATAATATTACTAGGAGGCGAAGGCAAGGGGGAGGATAGAGTTGAGGAGGACAGGTTATATTTGAGTGGGTTTCGTGTACTGCTGAAAGAATGCGGGTGGTTGACCCTTCCCAGCTTCTTACACTGTGGAAGGCTGTTTCTTCTCAAAGTATCTGAGAGAGAAAAAGATTTGACAGCAGACCTCATGGGTCATCTTCATGACGCCTGTCACACACAGCCCTTTGCAAGTTTTCGTTTGAACATTAGACTGTTCTGATGCTGGACTGATTAACTCCATACCTCCAGCTCTGGAAGTCTGTGGAGGAGGAGTAGCGCGTTCTTTTTCGAGCCATTTTCTTTCTAACTAGCTCCCCCCCCCCCCGCCTCTTCTCGTAGGGATGGCTGTATCGGCGCGACACTGCTGGTCATCCAACGGAAACACCTTCCTGCTGTTACACATCATACAACTAGCAACAATGCAACTTTGCCCTAGAAAACTCATTATAGTGTAGTAATTTACAAATCACTACCTAATTCACTTCAAAGCTGAGACCGGTAAAGCATAAACGGATCAGAGGGAATTTGACAACAGTTTTCTATATCACTTATAACCCCCTTTATACTGAGCTTAATCTTAAGCTTTAAACAGAAACTCAAACTTAAACGTCACCCCCTTTATGGTAGGGCATAACAGTACGGACGATGAACAATCGTTGCTTGTCTGCAATTACAATCTGTGAAATATGAAATTCCAATTCCGGAGTTGCTACAAACCCTCCCCCTGATGCCTTCTAAAAAGGGTTAGAGCTCATCTGGAGTCGTGACACATAAAGCCATACCAAAGGTTTCTCTCATCATACAGTTCTTAGGTGGCACTACCGGAAAAGAGCTCATTACAACTAAACTTATTCACACTGTCTTAACGTAAGAAATGGGGCGATCTCATACTAGCATTGTGTCAATAATAATTACTTCAATAATGATATGTTTTATCTTTTCTCACCTGCTAGGATTGGCTATCTCAGAAGACGTCACAAGAAAATACAAAATCCGCGATCGAACCAACTTAGTGTGAATCTGCATTTCTCCCATCGTGAGGTAAACACCTGTAGCTTCTTACCTCAGCAAGTAGTATCACCACCTTTTTCCAGAGCGTTCAAGGAGAAACTAGATCTTCACACAGATATCTTCCGCATGGATTAACACAGGTCAACTGGCCTACTACACTTACAACTGAAAACTGTCCGTTGTTAGTTAACCATTTCTCTTCATATTTCTATAGATAGAGACGAGAACTGCGGCCTCTCCAAAAAAAGTATCTTTACAAATAAAAAGACCCAGAACAAAACGAACAATGACCGACTGTTTCTACAATACAAACTACGAAAGGAGATTCTGGTGTGGATACCTACTCACACTCGCTAAATGTAATGCACAGAAACTTGGAAATTAAACTGCTCCACATATATATAAATATAATGAGAGTCTGCAGAACTATGTGTAAACTGCAAGTCATGAAGCTATGCTGCCTATGTTAGGTCACAGTGATAACACTAAACATTAACAAACTCAGCATCATGAGAAAATGCAACCTCTGAGGACGCAAGTTATAGACTTTACATATAATCTTTGGTATATCATTCCTTGTGAGTATAGAAGCTAACAAATATAAGTAATAGGAATACAACTGGGAAGCACGAACCAACGCTTTTAACCCACGAAGGTAACTCTAGGTAAGAGCGGGTCAAGAGTTTTAAATGGTTGAAATTTTAGAATTTTTATCCAATATCCAATGTCTGTTTAACGAGCTGCAAACTGGCTGATTTGTTTGTGCTCGCTTCTAGGCCTTGTGAAATAGTTTCAGGTCTTCAGTGGATTTCAATACGGCAGATCCAGCCACTCGTTTGCTATAGCTCTGGTAGACACAGATAGTTGGGTGTTGGTTTGCCTGTCTGTAACTGTGGTGCAGCTGGGTTTCCCAGCTGTCGAGTTGCCAGACAGTTGTCTGAACTGGTCGCGAGAGGGAGATGGGGATATCTGAAGGATAACCCAAGAAGACAAGTGTGTATAAGTAAAAGAAAGAAATGTGAAATGATGGGGTAATCTACGTGTACCCAAGTGGAACAAGAGGGTGCAAAGATATGCAGAACTTAGGTGAGTGAGGTTACTTCATAGCTGGTAAGAGGGATAAAAATGACTCAGTGCCTAAAGTTCTGGTATTCTTTTCATTAACATATATTCCACAAGAAATTATCATTAGCTCACCATGCAGGGCTCAGTCAGGTAATGGTCTAACACAACTACACTAATCTCGAGATGAGTTTCATAAAAGTCGTCTTGAAACTTAGGCGTTTTTATGTATGAACTTATGTATTCCTATCATGAAACGGTTCAGCTGCTTTTACCTGCACATTCTTTAACATCTGTTTCAGAAAGGAACTACTAGGTGTGAATGACTAGCAAAGACGTTGTATAAAATCACACACTTGCTTGATCCTACTGGACACAATTATAGCTTCACGGTTGCGGACACCATCTCATGGTGCAGCTCATGATCTGTTTCTTGACATCGGGCTGGTTAAACAGGATCAACACCTTCGATATCGTTTATCGAAGCTACTCGAGGCAGTGTACTGGATATGGAGTTACTTGCTCCAGCTATGTAGCAGATATCTAGCGTAAAGTGGGAGATATAATCCAGTTCTCGCGACTCACTAGGGGGTATCTGTGGGAGGCCAAGCCAATAGTGAAAGTTAACGGTTTGTTATTTGCGAAAATGGTTACGTAATAACCTTCCACCGGGTGTCGAAAATGGCGTACAGAGGAGCACATGGCTGGGAGATCCCTACCAAATGTAACGCACATTGTCTCCGCTTCATGCAGCTGCCTCGAGAAAAAGGTTAAAGGCTGCAGCTGGCTGTCAGTCAACCGTTGCAAGGCTGCTCCGATTGCTAAGTTTGATGTACCAACAGCAATTCTCAAAGAATCTTTGGTGTCGTGGTCCACAAGCGTGGTTGCAATTGAAACGGCTTCCCTGACTTTAGAGAAAGCAAGTCTAGCCACATCGTCTATAGTCACGCATTTCGCAGTCCCCCAAAAAGATCTGTGAGTGGTCCCATAAAAGAGGTACAGTTGGGAATAAACCGTCGGCGGTAACTTGCCAGGCCACTGAATGCTCGAAGCTGCTTTATGGTATTAGTTCATGATAGCCGCCACTTAATCTCTCAGCGGGCTCCCACCTCTGTTATAAATAATATGCTCAAGGAAGCTGATTGGTTCGACTCCTATTTCATACTTCTGCACGTTGATCGTGACGTTACGCTTTCTCAGTCTGCTGAATACAGGGTCCAAATGTTCATAGTCAGTTACCTTGTCTGGACACGCGGGGAGTCAGTCACTGATGCAGAAATGAACAAAATCAAAACCACGGAATGCTCGTGCCGCATTCTGAAGGACAAAAGACATGCGTAGGAATTCAAACGGGCCAAAAGGAGTAATAATGGCCATTTTCGCGGTATCTTCTGTTACCATAAGTATTTGGTTGCACGCTTTGATCAAACCAATTTTGAAGAATGTGTCTGTTCCGCATAACGTAGCTTTCAAGTCGTAGATATGGGCTACCGGGTAACAGTCTGGTGTTGTTTTTCCGTTAGGCCTTCGTTGATCACCTGCTGGACGCCACTCGTTGGTGTCCTTTTTGGGAATCTATGCGGAGGTAATGCCCAAGGACTGTTTGACGGTTTGATAAGTCCCGGCTACAGCACGTGGTCGAATTCACTTTTCACTGCCTTGAGCTTATCAGGGACTGGGTGTCGCTGTTTGGATGCCACAAGTGGTTATGATGTTATGCACAGCATCGCTGGCTATCTACAACAGAGTATACGTTGGTTGTTGCAGCTCTGAATGTTTTTTCAAAACCTTGTGATGGAACGCGTGGCCTGAGTTTTTAGCTCTAACTATAGCCAAACTCGGGTCTACCTGGGTGGTGCTGCCAGTCGCTAACTTCGTGTTGTTATCTATCATTCGTCGGAGACGAGCATCTACAAGTAGATCGTAGTGGTTCACTAAGTCTTTGTAATTAATGGGCATGGGAACATCAGCTAGGAGGAAAACCCAGCAAACAGGTTTACGTGCACCTAAATTGGGGTCAGCATACCGTCTTCCAAATGTTGCGATCACCTTGCCGTTAGTTGCTTGAAGATTGAGGGTTGGGTCATGGTGACGTTGCTCCGTCCGTGAGAAAAGAAAGCTAACTTCTACACCGGTGTCGACAAGGTGGCGGACTTTCGTTTTTACGTCAGTGAAGTACAACACACGGCTTTTTCCCTTCTGCTACGACAGCCGTTAAAGTGTAACGACGGGACAGTTTCTAGAGTTTGTCAATGTTGAAACCGTATGACTTCCGACATTTTCTGGCTTCGCACACACACGTGTTGTGATACCGACAGCACTTAGGGTTTTCCACCCCGTTAGGTTTGGTTTTCGGACAATCACGTGAGTTGCTGCCATAAGCTGAGATGCGTTTCTTTGGTGTGCTACTTAAAGTAGGGTTTCAGATTCGCAGCAGCCGTTTAACGGCGTCGCATGGCTTGGTTACTTATGAATCCTGCTTCTTAGGTTTTTCGCAAACGAAATGTACGTTGGAGGGGGGTCTGCTAGGGATTTTAAGTGTTTTATCTGCTGAGCCTGCCAGGCCACTGAGTGGGACCGACTGAAATGTCGCCAGCATGGTTTGCACCGACTGTGTTAGTTTCTAAAGGAACAGTTCTCCGAAATGGCCGTATAGAGCATTCACGGGCCCATAACTCCCCATATGCGTTCTAGGATGTCAGTAGTTGAGTTGCTGCTAAGCCTTATGTTACGAAGCAATTCGTCTAGGTACTGGGGACCTGCGGGATCGCTTTTCCTCAGAAGTGGAACTTTGGGAAGTGCGTAGTAATAGTAATATATTCGGAATAATGAACTGTACGAACACATGCCATATTTACAGGCAATATATAAAGCGGTATCGTTAAACGGCAGTGGTGAGAATAAATGGGAGTATAATCTCTCAGTACGTGAAGAATTCTGGCGGTAGAGATTCATGTAATCCATAAAAGTATACTGCACACCTAACGTTGGGAACAAATGAATCTGAAGATATGCCAGTGCTCAGTAGGTTCGTACTGTCTAAAGATGGCAAGTGGAACTGCGGTTAAATATTGGAATGGATGGCGGGGGGGGGGAATTTAGGTCTGGTATTGCATGGTGTCATGCAGAGTGTAGCAATTGTTTAGGTCTATAATGTTGTAAACAGCGTCATTCGAATAAATAAGGCCGGGGATTCAATTCTATCCGGCTGCCATTGTCATGTTACAGTGGAGAATATCTGGGGTTTCACCAGCACACCATTCAACAAGACTTCAAGGCTGGCGCATCGTATGAGCCCACTTCGGTTAGCTTTGTCTCCAAGTGAGTGGGTGTCAGGACCGAAAGAACTTGCATGTTTGGGTGCGAATAGTAACAATAGTTTGCTTTATTCCAAATAATTTGTGGTACCATCTGGAATTCTCAGCGTAACATATATTGCAATAACAACAAAATATAGGTATATACATACTACTTTGAAGCCTTTTAAATTGTTTTATTATAAAAATTTAAGTTATGCGACGAATACTAAAAACGAGGAAATTTTGCATTGTAAGTTAAATTATTGAAATGAGATTTTTTACTGTCACAAAGTTGATGTGTGATTTCTGTTCCGACACCTTTTTCCTCGCAAAATATGCGTGCAAGGTAAGGTACAGTCGAGTTCCTATGCTTAGCTGTACGAGCATACAGTCTTGTGTAGTTTCTCTTTATCCTCCCCGAGGAGATACATGGAGCGAGTTGTAAATGAAGTGGATGCTCACTGTCAGTTAAAATTTCTGTAGCTAGTAGCTTGCAGGAATTTATATGTAGATCAACTACAGTGTTAATCAGTTGAGCCAGAGACACATCACTCACCCTGCTGACGGTCTTCAAAGCCCTACGCAAC